TATAATTAATTATTTTATCATGGTACGTCGCGTCGGAGCGCTCAGCAACGTTGTATTACTATATCAATTGTATGGGAACATTTAATATTATTAAATAATTATTTGTTTACATATATTTATTTATGTACGTATTAATTACATTATACTTAAATTAACTATGATTGAATTGAGAGGTGTTTGTAATTTATATTAAAAAAATTGTTATAGGGTAATAGGTAAAATGTACATAAATGTCATCCCTCCTAACAAACGACTAAATTACGTCATCGTTACTGGTTAGTTATTCTATCATATTATCTTATATTATACAAATATACCTAGTTAGTTTCGAACAAATGAAACGCATCGCGTGCGGAGCTTGATTTTTTTTCAAGGTTCATTTTCTCGCCTTCGCTCGGCCTACGTTTTATTGTCATGAGACCCCGACCCGCGTATGCTAATTTCAACCTTTTGGGCGCCGATGTCATTATTCTGAGTCCTCAGTCTGTCGATAACAATAATTAATGTATGTGTTGCAGTGGTGGACGGGATAACTCGTGATCGCATCCGAACCGGGTCGAAATCCGAAAGTTTGGACAATGTTAAGACCTCGCAATAAGTTTCTGGTTTAAAAACATGTATATTGTTATTGGTTTATTACGCTACTGATCCATTCCTTCACCATCATTCACCAGTGTAGTGTCTACCCATTAAATTGTGTCGGTATACAATTGACTAGATGGTACTACTTGTAGTTATAAGTTATAATAATAATAATAATAAATGTATGATATTCTTAAATTATAAACTCGACGGCTTTACGAAGTTGTTTTTGTCTAACCAGTTGGCCTATAGAACTTGATAAGGACGCGTATTATATATATTTAATATTTAATATTTATCATTATCAATATTAAATATTAGAACATTAAGTGTCATCAACATAACAACATGCTATAAAGTCTATAAACGTATTTTTAATTTATTACTCGTGTGTGTGGCTATAACGCTAGTGTTAACCTTCTGATTATTTATTATCTACTTTACTTTCGCAATTTACATGATAATAATATAATATAATTTCAAAGTTCCATGATATGTTTCGATGTATTTTTAATGAATTAAAACTGAGTGTGAACGATTAAAAATCAGGCCAGTGTGTGTAGATTAGTTTAAATGGGAAATTTTAGTTACAGTATATTTTGTTATAAAAATAGGTAAAAATAATATTAAGTATCAGCTATATTATTGTGATAAGTTCAACCTACGTATCCAGTTGAGATAATCTTTGTTTAATCAGTAATTTTTTATTCAGATTTTAGTTTCATAATAAGTACGTTTAAACGTTTTGGAATGCAATTATGTGGCGCAGCGTAATCAAAATTTTCTGAACGGCATTCGCACTGTTTTGCGATTTACTTTATAATCGTATGTAATAGTTTCGTTAAGTCGAAATTTATTTTCAAAAATCTTATTCTCAAGAATGTATTACGCATTGAAAACGTGCCCTTTTCTTTACCGCTTCTTTATATTTCCGGTTGTTTCATAATTAACATCCCAGCTTCAATTCATCTTTGTTCTTTGGTTGCTTTAATTCGACCTTTTTTTGGCTTTAAACACTCGAGTATTCGGATTTTGTGCAAAGATGATGTCATAAATATCTTTGTTTTGAATTTTATTTTGTTTTAAATCCATACGTACGTACTACCCACTTTCCATCACGTACCCCATTTAACAGTCAAAAACAGTGATCGTTGGTCTGCCACACATGTGATCTAAATTTTGACCTACGATAATTTAATGTTAATATAACGTTTTAGAGTGATAATATTATGTTGTTATTATTTTTGTTTTCGTGTGTTGCGAACCCACTTCACCCTTCCACGTGACTCACCCGGCGTGTCGTTGTATGCATGTTTAATATATTATGTTTATTTTGTCGACTCCACCATATAGAAAAAAGAACTTGCAATGTTGTCGACTACCGTACTACCGCGGTTTGGCGGTTGTTAGAAACGGGAGTCGGAAAGTGATAACATTGATAACTGATAACTGATTAACGATAGCAATTAAAATTATTTTTTACATTTTCGTCGAAACCTAGTTTTTGTACTGTTTATTGTGTTTTGGACATACTGCTAGATTCCATTTTTTTTCAAATGTGTAATGGCTGTGTCAGCTGTTGTGTGCATATCCGGTTCCTCGTCGGCGGTACACTTCAGTTATTATTTTAATGCGCCATAAGAGATTGCCGTCGTTGCACTGCTGCCCGTCACACTACTTGGGTTGCTTGGGTTAGGTTATGTTTTTGTGTTATACCTAATAATATATTATTTTGGAACCATTATTATTATGAACAGCGGCAGGGTCTCGTGTTGGGTTTGGATGAAATTGTAGGGTCCTTTTATTTTTAAACGTATATTTTTTTACCGTGTAAAGCCCACACAAGTCTTTTTGGCTGTCGTCGAAAAACGACCGCCACTCAGTTGTTGTGGTGGCATCTTTTTTTGTTTAACAATATGCATGTGTGCTGCTACTGTTGCCTCTTCTATCCTGCCCGCTTCAGCACTACCGCATTCGAATATTACTAAAATATTATACGCTCGTACTAAAACGAGAAGACTACTGCGTAGACGGCTGCAACACTAGTAACCTTCATTATTTCTTTTTCCACCCATCGACGGTTGGTGGCAGGGGCTACTCTTTAAATATTTTTATTTCAAATTTTGATATTCGTCATTGAGTTATCTTAAAATTCTCGGGATACGTCGATGTGTAGGTACGTCATCCTTGAAACGTTCAACAGATTAACAAGACGTGTACATCCATAAAATTACGACACTTAAATAAAAAAAAAAACATAATGTAACGTTTTGATTGGGCAATTGGACGTCGCATGTATCTCGAGTGAGAAATGTTCCAAAAAGGCTTCACCTCCCTTCCGATCGACACGAAGTAGGTATATTACTAGCTCGATAATTATGCGAGTGTGTTCACGCGTGACGTAGTGTATAACATATTTAGGTTGGCGACGGCGCGCTCTTCAAAATCAATATTACCGAGTGAATCGTTTGACTGACAGACCATAATAATATCGTATTCCATGTTATAATCGTATTTGTACTATGCACGTATATATTATGATAATAATGTATGCGCTGACCACACCCGTTTGTCTACGGTGTGCGTCGTTCGCGTCCCGTCTTGTTATTCCGTTTGAAACGCGGCATAGAAAATTAATTTTCATTTTTGACTGACATCATGGTGCACAATATTATTATATAGCGTAATTTGGCAATTAAAAATCGCATTAAATATCAAAAAATAAAACTGCTTAATGTCGTACGCGTATAAACGATTTCACGTAACAAAAAATATATTGTAGCATGATAGTCGCGTTCTGCGTTTTAAATAAATAGAAAATTTTTTTCTTCTAATTACGTATTAATTATACATTTGTTTGTGATTCGTACGTCTTGATTACCACTGTGAATAAAATAATATGATTCTCGACGATAATGAATATTATAAATTATTCTTATGGAATGTGTCAGCCGATTGAAAAACAAACAAAAGCCAAATGTAACTGGGCTCATGTCGGTGGTCATTTAATATACTATATTGTTGTCAAAGCACAAAATACTACGTTAATTTTAATTCTCTCGTTTGACGCTAAAACTACTAACTAAACTCACTTAGTGCGCAATTTTTTCTCCATGTACAATTATTAATAGGTAGAGTGGTAGAGTTCGGTCTGTCGTCACTGTCCGTGGCTATTATTATTAAATTATTTTAAACGATTATTTTTTCTCAAAATTTTACCTTAGTTTGGTGTGTGTCGGTTGTGTGAGCGAGAGAGACCAACCAATGACCCACAATCGTTCCGAGAGGATTCGAAAAAAAACTACCGTGGATGATAAAAATTGCTGTGTCGTCTACTTCGGCGTGTGTGGTGAGAGTTTTATTTTTACGACGTTAATAATAAAACGCCGAGTCGACGACGACAATACCGAAACCAGGTTTACTGGTCGCCGTAGTCGTAGTCAAGAGCGAGGTAAATCACACGATTATAGAACATTATGTTTTACCAATATCGGTTATAGTAATTAAAAATAAAAAAACCCCCAGGAATAGGACATGGTCTTCTGCGCGTTGCGTGTGATAATAATAATAATAAAAGTCTACTATCGGCCGTCCATTCTCGGCTTCCTCCTACTCCTTATGATAGACAATGCGTAAACGTAAACGCACGTCCGGTAGTTGCGCACCTGACAATGTGCGGTCCGTTGGGCTAGGTTAAGGCTTCTTCCTTTTCCCCCGGTTTACCATTTCTCTATGATATTATCCATTCCCGTAATCGACTATTACGCGCGCATGTGTATGTAATGTGTCATCGCGTAACGCATACGTTGTTATCCTATTTATCCGTTTCATTATCGCATTATTATTATTATTTATTTTAACTCTAATCCCAAATTTAGTTTCGAAATGGCGTGACTGTATAAAAAAAAAACTGTAGAAGCGGAAGAATAATTTATTCACCAAATTCTAAAACATAGCCTAATTGTGTGTTTTTATACAAATCTTAAAATTAATTTCTTGTTTCAAATAAATTGTAGGTACTCATATTATTAAATGATATATAAATAAATAATAATAATAAGTAGGTACATAAGAAATAAAGTGTTATAACTTGTTTGAAAAAATAATATAATAATTTTTCTGTCATCATAATTTATGAAAGAATATTATCAATTTTTTTTTTTTTTTGTGATCCATAAAATGCGATAACGTCGTTAATAAGTCAACATATAATACAAAATATATATCAAACAAGGAAAAATGTATTTTTATCTTATAAATATAAATCTATGTTAAATGTAGTATTACATTGTTTCTGATTTAAAGATTATTACTGTTAGGCATATTTGGGGGTGATTTGTGTCCCTTTTCCCTCCCAAAACAATTGGCAATGTGTAATAATTTTATACCTTATTTTTGTTTTTTTTTTTGTCATGCAGGCAGTCATCTATGAATGGTAATGGGATATTTTGCCGTCGTCTGGATTTCAGTACATTTAATCGGCTACCTCGGCACATGCTCAACTCCTATCACGTAAAGGTAACGTACTTGTTATAACTATTATGATTAAGCGAAATTTTTTTTTTATTAATAGGTAGTTGAGTACGGGGGAGTGCACCAAAATTGTTTGTTCGCCGTCCGTTTGTACTTATTATCGTAGTTGTCAATGTTTCCGTTGATGAACCATTTCCGGTGCACCAGTTTCTTTTCCTCCCAACCACGGAAAACGTGCTATGTATTACTTCTCTAAAACACTTCATAGATCGAGTCTTGTTAACAAGTCCACCACCAATCATCCTTTGTATAACAATAATTAATATTATATACTATGTTTCTCTAGTCCCGTCCTCGTTTGGCGTAGAGTGAGCGCGTAGTTTTTTTTTTTTGTTTGTACAATAGTCGCATTTAAAAGCAAATTGAAATATTATTCGGATCAGTTTGTGTAGTGTTTTACTTTTATTGGCCCAACTCTGTCCGATTGACTGGCTGACTGGCTGGTTAGGCTAATAGAATATTAATATTTTGGTTGTAGTAACAATGGTATAATAATAACAACAACACGCAAGTGTTTACTGTTCACATCTATTCATTGTATTTTTTTCTAAACACACCACATCTTACCGCCGCCACCTACACTACAACAAATTGATAAAAAATTTACCCAAGGTCGCATGTATTTATAGAATAATTTATTTAAGTACACGTCGTAATCCTCGGCACAGGATGTATGTAAAGATTGTTTTGTTTTTAACATTTCCTGCCCTGCCGTCCATTATACATCATTATGATTTCGAAAATAATTTGTAAAATGACTAGCAATTATTACTGTTCCAATAACTTTTGATCTTTGGAAAAAAATACTTTATTCGTTATTTTTGCTGTAGTAAATTAAATGTTAGCTATGAAAATTATGTGCAATTATTATGCAATATTATCGTACATTATTTTTTAGTGATTCATTAATAAAAATAAGTAGTATGTGTATAAATTATATTTACATGTTTTAAGATAATTAAAACATACATTTTTTTTATTGTTTTTATTTTATCTTTGGAAGGAACTATTTACCGTTTAATGATATCCATATTATTTATCAAATGCTGACGATAACAGATTTTTAGTGTAAATTAATTATTACACTGAAAAACTTTCACCCTGAAATTTTTTTATTTAATGTTAAAATTAGCTTAAACTATTTTAAAATAATACATTTATAATTAATTAATTAAAGTCTACTCTCAATTGCGTTAAATATATTTTTTTAAATTTAATAATAAATATGAAATGACCTTAATATGTAGATTTACTTTCCATTCAGCCGAGGTCACTCGTTCGATATACATTTTTCTAATAAGAAAATAATAGTTATACTAACAAGCGTTTTAAGAGTTTTGACACGAATGTCAATTAATTGGGTTTTAACGAAACAATGTAATTTGCCTGTCAATACGTTATTTTATTTTTTGTTATAGCGTTTTTATTACGTTTTTCTATCGCTTTTAAAATATTAAATTTTCGAGTTAAGTGTCCCGTAGCCCCGTGACTCGTTAAGTACCTATGCTTTTAATTGGTCAACTTTATTGTTCTATTTAGTCTGGTAGTTTTATTATTTAAACATGTCTCCAATTGGGTGACACGAGTCTCGGTGTTTGGTCGGTGTTGGATGTCCCTAGTATAGGTTAAATTGACAAAATAATCATAAAAAAAAATATCCATTTCAATTTCTTTTGTTGTCTTCATTTTTGTCACATATGACTGGCTTGTTATCAAGGTTTTACGTAGGTATCTACATAATATATTATAACAGTATTCAGTAATCGAACTGATTTCAGTGAAAGTTATTGGCTATACGAAATTGGCGCGCCGTTATATACGACATACTAATAAACACAATAACAAAATATATCTAGTTTGTATTGTGTCAATTTCATTGTGTGTTGGGTTTTCGGCCACCAAATTGGATTTCGACAAGAATATAATTTTGATTGCATAAAAATAGTAGTAATAGTTATGACTTTATGAGATATGTATTAATATTGTGTGTGTACTATTTTATTGATATCATAAACAAAAAACATCGCAGACGGGTATGCATCGACGACAGCGCATTTCTGTGCACGCATAATATGGCAAACGAGAACACGACGAAGGTCAATAATATAAGCCTCTCCCATGGTGTTTGTATATGTATGTATGTGTGCGTGCCTATGTTTGTTAGATCTAAATTGACGACGATATGATAATAACGTGATATTATTACGTGCGTATCGTTTTGCCAATGCGGTTGCAATGGTCTGATATGTTATGATATCAATTTGTCGCACATAAAAATCTATCGAATTTATATTTTTTTACAATATGAATCTATTTATAAATATAGATCCATGCCTTTTTTTTTCGTTTTGCATGAATATAAAATGTATAATAAGTAAATTGCATAGCGTTTTGTGAATATTGTTTTCTAATCCTGGAAAAACTAATCCTCCTATCTCTCTCATTTTGCGTATCGATTTGCCCTGATAATCAGACGTGTTTTTACGGACTTGAATCCATCTTCATCGTCGTCAAACTCGCAAAGTGAGTGAAATCCGGCCGAACAATGAATTTTTTTCGGGTTTATACCGGTCCTCGAACGTTTTTATTTTCGGCACTGGGGACGGGCGGCGCCGGCGTGTGTCGTCGCGTCTTTGATCGAGTGTGCGCGAACGCGTTTTCGGCGGACGAACCGCCGCCCAGCCGGGCGTGTTTAGGGTACCGCCCGTCGACCCCCCTGCAGTCACCTGGAGTTGCGTGCTTGGTACCCAAAGCTCTCGCGCCTGCCCGCTCGCCCGACCACGCCAACTGCGAAAAGCGCTCACGCCCGCGCCCGAATATTTTATCGCGCGAACCATTCTGTCTCTATTTTCAACACCGCCGACACACACTAATAATGATTTTTTTTTTTTTAATCAGTTCAATTTTTCGATTTTTGAATTCACGAATTCTCATCTCCCCCTTGTCTCACACGGTTATTAATTGTTTCCGTTTCACCGACTTCACCGACTGCAAAGATCGGTCACTCGATCGGGAAATTTAATTTTCACAGGAAATTTTTTCGTCTCTGTCATCTCCATGCACACCCACCCACCCACCCATCCACCCATCCACCTATCAACTCTCGTCGGTGCGCTGTCATACAACGTTGCATGCCGTCGCACCGCGCGCTATGTATACAACGTTGCACGTCGCCGCTGCGCTGTTATATGACAAAAATATTGATCGCCGGCCGGACGGCTCTTTGGCCCGTCTCCCACGCCCCTTCGCACCGACCCCGCGCCGCGTGCGCCCAACTCAAATGTGCATCGATGCCCCGTCGCCGGGACCCACGCACTTGTCTGCCGGTTGAGCGTTCCCGCCGCCGCCGCCACCACGCTTGAATCGTGTGCTGCGCGAGTTTCCGACGACCCGACCGCTTGCGCCCGTCGATCAATAGCCGGTGCACGTCCCTTTACCCGGCGGTATCCGACGACGCGACCCGATTACGCGTTTTGTGAATTTTTTTTCGTCGGAATTTTCGAATGCGCTCCCGTGCAAACAGCGATAGTCGATCGCAATGGAGAGGCCGTCGAAAGAAATACAGGGTGTACATTAAAATCGCGGATACATTTTAAAAGCAAGAAACGACTCGAAAAATTGATCGAATTAAATTTTTTTTAGCCATCTACAATGGCTGCTTTCACGGACAAACTTTGAAACAACATATACCCCTTTCATTATACAAGTTAGGTACATCAGATTTAAATTCATCCGTTTATTATGGCTCGCTCTGTATAATATTATAATCGGTACGATTCATTCGAAGACCTTGAACGTTTTGCAAAACACGTCTATGTATAGTGTATTAGTGTATACCTTATACATATACAGTACACACTGCATAAATGTCACATAGGTGTGGCTCGATCGGCATCACTCTTGCTTCTTTGATTGCAATCAAATTTATCCGTCCTTAATATAATATGTGTGATAAACAATGTACGTTATTGAAAACTTATATCAGAAATATAATTCGCACACATGTGATGCATTCCATCTCGCAGACAAGGAAGCCGTCCTGTAAATTATAGGTATTCAATGATTAACATTTCGAAATCGAATCGCGTTGCTATACTGAGATTAAAAACATTGCGTGAGATTCACTCCAATTTTATTATAATAAAATGTGGGACATACTCGTATTCAATTGCACTTGTTCAATCGTGGGATAAAACTTATTTGCACACATATTTTTACAAATTTTGTGACGACCCGTTCCACACAAAATCAGTAAAAATTGTTATTATTCATTAGTGTACTTGGAATATACTCAAACTATTAAAAAAAAAAGTATAAATATTGGTTGTGCATTATTTTATATGTAAACAAATCGTATATTTGTGTGAAAATAAGTTGTTATTTAGGCAAAAGTGCGAGCAAACTGTGTTGTGTAGTAGCCCTTGTGAAAGCGTATTTTCGGCACCGGGTTATCGTTTTAGGAGGGTTTATTATTCGGTCGCGTCCCCATTAGCTCGTCGAGACGGTAGCCGCTGCCACCGTTAAGGCAGGTTAGGGGGAGAATGCAGCAGAATACGTATTCCTTCTTCCGGGTTTACGCCCGCCAAAACATCGTTTTCTTTCCTTAAAACCGTTAATACGCTTTCGTCGTACTATAAATATCGCTCGAATTGAACGTGCACGTATACACTAGACATTTGTAAGTGGTTACATATTACATAGCTTTCTTTTAAAGGGATATTTCAACCAACCTGGGTACATCAATATATCTAGTGTTAAAAAATCGCTTCAATTGAAAACGAATACGAATTTTTATTATAAAAATTAAAGATAAGAACTAAAAAGATATTCAGTTTTATTTTATATAAAAATTCGATACTTTTACAAATATCTGATCTAGAGATTAAAATTCAAGTCCTATACAATCCTTATTGTTATTTATAGTCTTTATAGGATAGTCAGTTTTGATATAAAACGTTATTTCTGATAGGCATTTCATTTATTAT